TCTTCCTCCTCCTCCTCCTCCTCCTCCTCCTCCTCTTCCTCCTCCTCCATCTTCTGGTTCTGAGACAGGGTCTCTCTACATAGCCCAAGCTGTCCTTAAACTTACTCTGTAGACAAGGCTGGCCTTGAAGCCAGAGAGAACTGCCTGCTTCTACCTGATGAGTGCTAGAATTGAAGGTGTATGCTACCATGCCTGGCTATTTTAACTTCTTGCTATTCCCAAAGACTAAATAATTTTCTGGGGTGGGGGGCTGGGGATGTACCTCAGCGAGTAAAGTGTTTACCTTGTATGTGTGAAGCCCTGAGTTCAGTCTTCCAACATCTTCTCATGAGGTTACCTTGTAAGATCTCCTCTCCTAACCCCACCCCACTGCTCTGCTTCCACCCACTGCATTATTTCCAGAAATTTATGTAAATGAACCGATACTGTACGAATCAATTCTTTTTGGTCTTGTTTCTTTAATCCAGCATACTTACTTTGAGAATCATGTATTTGTATGAATAGTTTATCCTCTTTTAAAGGATAAAAATAATTATAGATCCAATGTAATTATAAGAAATAATGCAGAGATGTATACTCTCTTATTTCCTCCAATTACACAGTCGGACAACTAGGAGAATGGCACTGTAGTAAACCATCACTCTTGTTCATATTGTCTTAGTTTTGCCTATGCATGTAACAAATTCTAAGCAATTTTATCACCTACCTAGATGTGTGCATCCCTCATCACACTCAATATACTAAACAGTTCAATATCACAGGATCCTACTACCTTGCATTACCCTCTCCTGCATACCCTCCTGTCATCACTAGTCCCTGGTCCTCACTAATCAGTTTTCCAGAATTAATTTCTGTCATTTCAGAAATTGAGTGGAATAGTTCATGTCTTTTGATTAGTTCATTTTGTATTCATGCCACAATTTGATGATCTATTCCTCTATTCAATGGACATGTGAAATATTTCCTGGTGGGGAGTTTTCAGTTCTAAGGATTAAACCCAGAGCCTTGTGCATTGCTACCCTGTGCATGGATCACTGAGTTATAGCCCCAGCCCCTCTCCAGGTTTCCACTCTCACAAATAAAGCTGCAGCGAACATTTATATTTGTCTTTATATAAACCCATGTTTTAAGAAAATAGACAATACTTATTATTATTATTCTCATTGTATAAGGAGATAACCTTGAAGGGGGCCATTCAACTCAAAATTATTTTATTAAATTACAAATGTTTTTTATTAGAGGTTTTAAACCATCCTTCTAGAAATGCTTGAAAAATGGGAAACTTTTACATTACTTCTAACATAAGCGATGCAGAATACCTTTTGCAACCAATTTACAGACTAAGAAATATAAACGTTTTACACATACACATATATAAGTGCATGTGTTAGATTGTTTTTTCTCTATTTAATAGATAAGAACTATGAGAAAGTCAGCCAGATTGAGTCCTTGTTTATCTAATGAGCCTCTAAAAGATAACTGGACTTTGTGCTATGTTACATATTTCATGTTATGAAACAGTCAAAGAAAAATATCTCACATTTGCACTCTTTGCATGCCTTTGCCTATGTATTCTAGTTACCTGTAAGCAAGAATGAGACCCAAGAGTTTCTGCAGCTTCCCAGTTGCCACAGCATACAATATTTATTAGTCGATTCTCCAGCACTAAGCAAATTACTGTAAAAGAAAAATCAAAGTTTAATTCATCAATATGCTGTTTGGTAAAACAATTTTTTAACAACTTCATTTTTTTTTTTGGTTTTTCAACACAGGATTTTTCAGTAGCTATGGAGCCAGTCTTGGAACTCTCTCTGTAGACCAGGCTGGCCTCAAACTTACAGAGAGCCATCCACCTGCCTCTGCCTCTGCCTCCCCAGTACTGGGATTAAAGGCATGTGTCACCACCGCCTGGCTCAACTTTTAATAATAGAAACAATTTTGCCATTCCAGACACAATTTCAGGGGAGGAAAATCTTCCCTGTAAAAATAAAACTTAATCTCATCATTATTATAAATGTAGCTTTTAACTTCTAGATTAAAAATGCTCCCTTGCAACTCTGCCCTTCATTTAACACCGTTCCAGTACCATCACATTCTGAAGAGAAAACAGTATTACAGCAAAGCTTAGTTTCATTTTACATAAGGATTTGAACAATGGTTGAAAATAAAGATCTTTGGCCTCCAGAGATCTCTTTTTTCTTTGATGCTTTAAAACCACACTGTAGTAACCAGTGTTTTGGGAGAGAGCAGCAGTCTTCAGGAAGCAGGAACAGACAAATCTTCATACATAAAGTTCCTGAGTCACAAGGTATAGTGCACATGACAGTGAGCAAGGTTCAGATGAATACAGATGAGGATTCCTGCATCACACTATCTACCTCAAGTAAAAAGGCAAATTCACAGATAGCTACTATTTCTAGGTTCTAACAGGGTCTTTTTTGTTTTGTTTTGTTTCAAGACAGGGTTTCTCTGTATTACTTTGGAAGCTGTCCTTGAACTTGCTCTGTAGACCAGGCTGACCTCGAACTCACAGAGATCCACCTGCCTCTGCCTCCCAAGATTACCCAGCCTAAGAGGGTCTTTAACTGAGAAACTAACACTTCACCAACTCTGTGCTTACTTGGAGGAGTAATGAGAAGACCAAGTGGTTGGCAATAGCACTCACAAAGCCAAGCCACATACACAAACTTAATAGCAAAACCAGCACAGAAACCATGAAGGCATCCCTTGAACAACAAAGGCAAAATGCTGGGTGACAATGTCACTAAAAGATCACCAATGCACTAAAAAGAAATTACTCGCAAAATTAAACAAGATGTGCCATTCCTATTTTATGGCTGGTTCTACTGTTTTTGTGTATAACAATTTTAAGAAGAGTACTTTTCTAAGTTTTTTACATGTAAATGCAAGTAAAAATAAACTCTATTTTGTAAATGTATAAAACTGAAGTCGAGCTGTGTAAGCCAAGTTTCTAATTACCTTTTTCCCTGAAAGATTTGGTATTAATAAATTCCTCAATTAGCCCTGCTTGCCTAGAAGTTATTGTGATGTTCAGTCTTCATCAGTAATGTGATTGGATTCAGAACCACCTAGGAGACTAGTGAGGCATGGCAAAGGTGTATCCATGTGGACATTTCTGTGAACTGAGGGCTAGGTGGGTGGTGCCATCCCACAGCTGGGGATCCATGACAGCATAAAAGGAGAGAATGAGAAAGCAAATGAGCATTAGAGTCCCTGTCTCTGTTTCTTTGTCAGCCACAAGGTAAATAGCTGTTTCCTGCCTTATGCTCCCATCTCAATAATGATGTGTTGTCCACGCACCCTGGGCCAAGCAACTATGGGCTGAACCCTCTGAAACCATGAACCAAGATAAATTCTTCCTCACTTAAACTGTTTCTGACAGATATTTGGTTGTAGCAATGACAAACATAAATAACATGGAAATTGATTGCTGGTGGCTACTAGTTGGGGTAAAAAGCGGAGTGCGAAGATGTGAAAAACATACAATTTGGCTAGAAAAGGGTTAGTTTAAATTTCTAGATAATGAGGTTGGGACTGTTAGAGAGATCAGTGCCACTAAAAAGAAGCTAAGCACTTCATAGGGGCCATAAGAAAGATCCTTTCGGCATCTCAGGTATTGGATAGACTCCAAATATCACAGGCTCTAAGGTATAAAACTCATTGGAAAGACTTCCTTTGAAAAGAGAGTGATGTGCTCCAACAGGGACATCAAGGGAAATGGATTCCTTCAATCAGGTTCCTAGTTATTATACAATGGTTCAAGGAGGACAGACTACTGCTTTAACTGGCAGCAGACCTTGGCATCATCTATACGATGCTGGATTTTCAGGCATATAGAATAGAAAAGCTATGGGATCATGTAAGCTTCAGCCACATTTCAAAAAGACCTGGAAGGCCAGGTAATGTAACAAACAGGGTTGGATTTCTTGCAGTGAGCCTCCAAGCACATGATCTATGAAGCTGGTTAGTGATGCTGAATCTGTGGTGAAGATCTCAGGATGCTGGAGTTGCCAGGCAAACAGAATATCCACTGAGGATAACTATAGGCAATGAGTGGAGCAGGCCCAAGAGAGTGTCCTGGCTAGTCTTTTGTCAACCTGACACAAGTCATTAGAGAGGAGGTAACTTCAATTGAGAAAATACTTCATAAGATGAGTCTATAGGCAGATATGCCTATAGGGCATTTTCTTAATTAGTGATTGATGGGAGAGGACCCAGCTCCTGGTAGCGGGGTGGGGGGGAGGGCGGCGCGGGGTGGGGGGGGAGGTGCCATCCCTGGGTTGATAGTCCTGAGTGCTATAAGAAAGCAGGTTGAGCAAGTCATGAGAAGCAAATCAGTAAGCAGCACCCTTCCATTGCCTCTGCATCAGCTCCTGCCTCCAGGTTCAGATTCCTGCCCTGTTTGAGTTCCTGTCCTGACTGCTTTCTATGATGGACTGTAATGTGGAAGTGTAAGCAAAATAAGCCCTTTCCTCCCAGGTTGTTTTTGGCCATGGTGTTTAATCACTGCAACAGAAATCCTAACTAATAAAGATAGGGGTCATATGAGCTGCAGAGAGCAAGGTTACAAAGGCTGGGCTATCCAAGTCCCTTGGAGAGTACATCAGAACACTACATGCTTCAGAGGCTGGGCGTGAAACTACAGGACTGAATGTTTGTCCTTCTGGGTTTTGGCTCTATTTTGCTTTCATCATTCCTTTCTATACTCTTCTCCCTCCATTTCATAGAGGGAATATTCACTCTGTCCTCTTGTAGTCACTCTGTTCCTCTGTATATATTGGCAGAATGTAATTTTCTTTTTGATTTTACAGAAGTTCAAGTAAAAGACTGCCTTGAGTCTCAATTGAGACTTAAATTTGGCCTTTCAAACAATGTCAAACTTTTAAGACTCTGGAACTCAAAGAGACAGACAAGAGGCTTTGGGGGACAAGGGATGGGATGTTATGGTTTAAAGTGGTATGTCTGGGTGTGACGTTGACAGTGGGTAGAATATTTTCTATATTAGTTAATTTTCTCACCACTGTAATCAAATGCCAAATAGAAATAAATTAAGGGTGAAAAATATAATTTGGTTCATGGTTTCAGAGGGTTTGGTCCATGAGCTTAGTCCCATGAGCTTGGGTAAACATCATGGTGTATGAGCATTAAGCAGAAGATAGCTGCTTACTTCATGGTTGACCAGAAAGCAGATGCAGGGAATACTGGTGCTTCTTTACTCTCTTCTTTCCCCCTCTTGTTGTGTCAGGACCCCAAGCCCATTGGTGGTACCATCTAAATTCAAGGTGGGCCTTCCTCCCACTCCATAATGCCCTCTGGACACATCCTCAGTCACATCCATGGGTGTGCTTCATCAGTCCCCTAGGTTATTCTAAATCTAGTTATCAGTAAAGATTAACCATCATAATCACTTATTTTATCTCTTTATCTCCTTCAGTATCTACTGTAAAATTATTGTGTTTATTATTTACATTGCAACTTCAACTCCATCCATCCATCCATCCATCCATCCATCCATCCATCCATCCATTTCTCTGCATAGCCCTGGCTGTCCTGGAACTCACTCTGTAGACTGGGCTGGCCTCGAATTTACAAAGATCTTCCTGTCTCTGTCTCCTGAGTGCTGGATTAAAGGTGTGCACCATCACTGCATGGCTAATAATATTTTATGTAAATTTCTATCCATGAGTCTATTATATATAGAAATTCTTGTCTCTCTGTTGCTAAGAATCAGAACTATGCAGAAATCCCACTGGCCCTACTTTTCCCAGAAGTGACAAGGTCCTAAATTTAGATCAAGCCCCTAAATCTTGGTAGGTAATGGGGGTGATGTATAAAATTTGTGTGCTAGTTTTTGGAATGCATAGGGGAAAGGAGTAAATGTGTATGAATGTCAACCACAGCTCATTAGTAGCTATGAAGCTATGGGCCTTGGTAGGGGAGAGACTATTGATTTACAAGGCCTTATATCCCAAACCTTTCATCTCCACTGAAATGGAGAATTGATTATATTCTGTTTTTCAGTTTACAAGGAACATAAATGAGGATGGCAATGGTAAGTACTTCTAAATACTAAATTGACAATATGGGGTAACTGAAAGCTAGATTTTTTTACATCTAAACCACACAGTTCATCCACACAACCCCAAAATCTAGTCATTTGGCAGAGAATGAAAATCAGGACAACTCTTGAAATTGGGTTTTTTTTTTATTATAC